GCCCCCCGACGTGATCCAAAAAGCCCAAGACAAAGACCATTTTTTTATTTTTATTTTTTCAACCACCTTTTTTGCTCCAGAACAGCGCTTCATCTTCTCTGGCTTTGCAGAAGTCTCCGTAAAAGAGACAACTCGACTACAAAGGTAGATCTACTCAAAGGAAATTACAGATGCCTTTTCAAAAAATCTGTTAAATTGGTCTTACATCAAAAAGTTTCAATGTGGTTGGCTACTGGCTCTTTTATGATTCTTGTTTATATTGTAAATATATATGCGCATTTTTTATAAAACGATCACCGCCGTTTTTCTAGGCTTTTTCGGCGTGAGAAGAATGTAAAAGGGCGATAGAAGCCGTTTTTCGAGGTTTTTTCGGCAGAAGAAGAATTTAAAAACGATTGTTAGTATGTGTTGTTTTTAGAGATTTTTTCAGCGTCAGAAGAAACAAAAAACGTGTTAATTCAAAGAACTGGTTATTTTTGATAAGTAGTCAAAGTAATTAGCGTAAGAAATTCAATAATTACATTTATATGTGTGTACATAAAAAGTGGTCAGAATAGTAGGTTTAAGTAGTAAAAATGTTTGTATACTTATTCCTATTAATATTTGTAAATTTTTCAAATTCAGAATCATTATTAGTTGGAGAAACTATCCATGTGACATATAACAAAAAGGAGAACACAATTACTTGCCACTGTAAAGTCGACGAAGGCTTAATAACACAAATAAACATAGCATTCCAACCATGCGATCAGGGTGAATTCATAAAAAGCATTCCCATCAATAAATACGAACATGGTCAAGAAACAAATCAAATAATAGCAAACTATGATTACGACCATGGAATTCATTCAGAGATATGCAAAACTACAAGTCTAATTTCAGATCCAAAAACTAACAATAAAGACGTCCTATTTGAATGTGAATGGCAAGAACAACCTCCACAATCAAATGTGTATTGTATCTGTATTTCATTCCCAAATGGTACAACGCAAACTAATCTTACACACAATTGCGAAACAGGCATGCCCTATAGTGTTGAATCTAGAGTTATTTCTGAAACTGAGAATAAAACCAAAACCTCGGATGCAATCTTTGAATTTGTAGAGACTATTATTAACAATAATGACAAAATATTAGCAGAAGAAAAAATAGAAATATCTCCCTTTCAGTCTGAAGATCCTCCTATATTTGATTTACCCACACCTGCTAAACTAGAAGCCCCTCAATCCGTTCAAAACACAGAGCCTGTAGACATAATAATTAACTCTACTAAGCCCTTTGAAATCCCGATAACAGCAGACGTTCAGGATGTTACATTAAAAAGCAGAGTAGAATTGACTAGCACAATGAACGCCTCTGTCTTTCAAACATTAACAGATTTACAGAAAGACTATGACAAGTTGAGAATAATGCCCGAGAATAGTATAGGGTCTTTCTCAGTGATGTTTCTATCTGTCTTCATGGCTTTCGGCAGCATGTTATTTCTGGTCATCCTGCTATATCTATTAATCCCGTGTGTTATCCAATTTTCTCAGAATAAAATTACAAAGATAATGTTGTTACACGCCAGTGTGAACTCTGACCCAGACATTTCACAAGAGGAAGATGAAGAACAGTTTGAGCTATATGATTTCTAACCTTAAAAACAGCCACAAGTAGAATGCATTGATTATCATTAGAGAAACAGATAAGAATAAGCAAAAGCTTTATAAAGAGTTCTTACCGCTTTAAATCCCTTCAGACCGCGTTCCCTGTTTGCAAATGGAGCAGGCAAGCAGCGATAAAAGTTAACCATTAACCATTAACCAAATAAAGTGAAGTTCTGTGTGTTATCTTTGTTTTCCGATAAGCATGCAGCAGCGATAAATTTAACCATTAACCAAAAAAAGTGAAGTCCTGTGTGTTATCTTTGATAGGATAGAAGAAATGGAATTGTTAAAAATAATACAACTATAAGGTTTTAATAATCACTGCAATTCTATTATTGAACATACATTAATTACAACTGTATCCTGTGTCCAGCTTTCTAAAATTAATTACACTATACAAGGGATAAAAGTTGCACGTAAAAAGACAGCATTTTGTTAATGATTACTTTGTTTGTCATGGAGGGTAATATATAGCAGAAAGCGTTTTATTTCTATTTGAATAATTGTGATTACAAGTGAAAGACTTGTCAGCATTTGTAAAAATAGTCTTATAATGTATAATAAGTAGGTTTGCAGTGAAATAATATTATTGGCATAGCTTACCTGGTTATTTTTCTGGTATAGTGTTATTTTTATGCAAATAAATGTTTTAAAGATAAAATAAAGGCTAGTAAAGTGAGTTGGCTAATCCAAATATATTGGCAGCATTCAATGATATATTAGTTTAAATAGCAAATAAAGCTAAAAATAGATGTTTAATATTATAAGAAATATCACCTTTTTAACTTTCATGTTATAAAAATAAATATTGTTAGTATTTCAATATTCTAGTATGTTGTACAAATGTTAAACCATCACAACTATTAAAATATATACAACATGTTTTACTTAATGATTTTAAAATGATTAAGGCTATGCATGTATATACTGTATACTAGACAATAAAAACTCTGAGGGAAAATTATATATATGTATTAGGATTGGCACCTAAACTTAAACTAAAAATAAAACTTTTAATCTTCAGTGTTCTATTTATATTAAAAATTTGAATATTTATTGTAACCAATAAATGCTTGCAAAATCTCCCAGGGCATATAAAGGTTATAGCAGCTATTTTATTGTTCATCACAGGGCAGTGTATGCAGATTTCAAATCTACCTATTTTATCTTTAATAATCTATGTCTTGGATAAAGCAATTAACTCATATTTACCTTTAACTAAACAAAAATAAATAAATAGTTTTAGAAGAGTGTCTCTGCAATCAAAATAAATCATGAAAGATGTATTTCATTTATTTCAAAAGGTTTCTCCTTGACAATGTAATAAAGGACAGTAATCATATGCTGTCTTCATGTTTTATAAACAAGTGTATAATAACTGACAGTTGTATACCTATACGCCCTGGCTTGTTGTAAAATAAGATCATTACTGTCTATGATAGAAGTGAATAGTTAACATTTGCGGCTAGTATACAGATATCATGCCAGCTCAATATTAAAATGATAAGGGTTATCTAATTGGTTGTTCGAATATCATTATTTTTATGATTATTTTTTAAAAAAATCAAATTTCGTTTTCTAAAACTCGATATATGTACAGTATAATAATTAGATAAATAAATAAAGCATATAAATGTTTAATGATTAAAAAGTTTGAATGTGCAAGCTGATCTGTTGAACATTTTTCTTGTGTTTTAGAGAAATACTAGGAGCGCGGTGGGAGGTTCAGGACCAAAAACTAGTGTCTCAACGCAGACGGGGAGAAAAATAGGAGAGATCTGATCGGGTCAATCGCATAGGCCGTAAAGGAAGAATCTGAAACAGCCATCTTCAAAACCACTACGAAACAGCCCATTTGATTTCACATCCAGTACATGCTAAGGTAAATCTTCAATTTTTTGCAAAACACAATTCAATATAGTCTTCATTTTTTACACTATTCAAATGTTTGCACTCATAATTAAGACACTGTGCTCTGGGAAATCTAATTGAATGCATGGGTAGTACAGGGTAGGGGTAAAAGTCTCCCTCAACTACCCTAGGAAACTCATTTATGCGATTAGATTGCTGGAAGTGCATTTAGAAATAAATAAGAACATAAACAATAGGCACATACCAATAATGTCCCAATTTATCACACTAAAACAAGTGGAGGAGTTCTGGAGTAACAAGGTTCGAGAAGATGAAGTCGAACCAAAATTAGCACAAGCTAAGGTGTCCATCATACAAGAATTGCTTAAAAAATACATCTCGAAGCAAATAATTGATGGAGGCAAAGAGGCACTTGCACCCACAGAAGAACAATGGAAGAAGATTTCAGACTACCACAAAGGAAAAAATTTATATTATCAAACACATCCTAATTTAGCTCCTCTTGGAAAGAAGAACAACAATGCTAAAATTCGAGAACATGAGAACAAAAGTGCACTGGCTAAGAAAATGTGCCGATGGGCAAAGGAGATGAAAAAGTCAAAGAATCTTTCCTCAGAGTTGAGGGACCTGTCTTCAATTCTTGTGATTAAACCAACAGATAAGAAAGTGACATTTCCTGAGAGAATCCACAGAGACTCCACTGAGGGCGTCTACCCTGTGTTGAAGGACAAGGAAAAGCACAGGTATAACACACGGTCTCAGACTGAATACCATCGAGATGCCAGTGGCAGTGACTCTGAGGGAGGAGAAAAATCAAAGGAGAGGCCGTCGATCACACCCGAAGGAAGGAGAGAGCTTACCACTCACATGAGAAAAAGAAATAAATCACAAAACCTTGAAGATGTTCCCCTTTTGCAGGGTACTTTGTATTATCCGTCATCCACTCAAGACTTAATCTCATTCAATGATGATTCACGTTTGACTAAAAACCCCCCTCCTTATCATCCTACACCCAGCACAGTTATCTCTTCTAAAGGAACAACCCCAACGCAGATGACCCACAAGGTGATGGGAGGAGCACTATCCCTGACACCAGTTGGCCCACCCTCCAACACAGAGAGGAGGCTCCAGGATATTCAAAACCAGGTGACTGCTCTGACTTCTATTGTAGAGACTTCAAGAGAGTTTGGAGGGACCGATTGTCTGAGAAGTCAAGGACCAACCACAGAAGAAAGGGGTGACGTAGCCAGAGAAACAAGAAGGCATATGCAAGTTAAAGAGCCTTTTGAGGTAACAGGATCTTTCACAGGAATCATTGATGCTGATGAATTCAATGACGCTTACATAAATGGCACTGTTGACCCCATGTATGGAGAAGAACAAAAAACAAGTCATTCCGCATCTATCTATCCACTGAGGACAAATGAAAATCAACAGATGATTTATCAACCATTCTCTCTGAAAGACTGGAGTTCTCTGATGCTCACCCTACCGAAGCTGACGAAGGGTGGAGTGCCCTGGATGAGGGCCCTGATGAAACAGACTGCTGGTGATAAACTATGCTGGGGAGATATACATGCCGCCCTGATCAAAGCCGCAGATGAAACAGTCGCAGAAAGAATTGAAGCTGCAGTTGGAAGGAAGATCAGAATACCACTACGGAAGACTGCTGCCATTCAGATGTTCCGTGAAACATTGGAGGAAGAACTGAAGACGAGATATCCATGCACTCTGACGGATGAACTCATGTCCCTGCAGATGAAAAATGATGAAGACTACTACAGCTACAAACAACGAGCTAAAACTCTATATCATGATGCTACAGGTGAGCCAATTCAAACAGGCACCGGAATGACAGTCATGTTTTACTCAGCCTTGGTGAAAGGTATGCCTAAACCCATACAAGACACCCTCAGTGAAGTGATGGGATTGTACACTAAGACTGAAGAAGACTTTGATGCACATTGCAATCATCATGTGACCAAGTGGATTAATAACAAGAAGGAAACAGACTCCAAGAAGCAGGAACTTGAGCTGACCACTATGAAGTTGCAACTACATAAACTCCAAGAAGAGGCCAAGGACAAGAAGAAGGAGAAAACCTCTCGACTGATGACTGTACAACAAGACTCTGCTGATGGGGATGCACCAGTGACCACCAATCAATTGCTGACCGCAATAAAGACGGTGATGCAACCACAGCAACAACCACCACAAACATTTTCGCCAACAGCAATATACGCTCGCAGTTTCTCTAAGTTCAGAGGAAGAGGAAGAGGCTATAATGGTCCAAGGCCGAGATTTATAAAGGATAAAGCATTCGGTGCATGTTTCACATGTGGAGGAAGAGGCCACTGGAGCAGAGATTGTGCAACACAGCCACAAGGACAACCACAAGGCTTTGACCCACAACAACGATTCATCCAATCAATAAACCAACCACCTATGATGCAACCTATGATGCACCCACAGACGGCTGCACCTAGACTCCCACCAAACGGCCCAAGAGTAATGAACATCGGATCCAACTACCATGATGGAAGAGATGTCCAATGTTTTGATGGGTATAATGAATGCTAGAGAGGCCCACAGTCAGACCAATCGCTGAAACCATGGAAAAGCGAGCCAATGGTGGTCTTGAAGATAAATGGACAGAAGATTAAGTTTCTAGTGGACTCAGGAGCAACAGTGTCCTGTATTCGTCAGAAATTTCCATTGACATCCAAAACTATGTCCATATCCGGCTGTGTGGGATCACCTGAAACAAAGATTTTTACTGAACCATTGGCAGTAACATTGAATAACCAGACAGTAAAACATGAATTTCTTTTCTTACCACAAAGCGACGTCTCTATATGTGGAAGAGAACTGATGTGCAAACTTTCACTGTCATTGATATTTTGCCCAGATGGCCATAAAGTTCTCAACAAACAAGAAACCATGATGACGCTGAGAAATATAAAGATGAAAGATTCTGTCCAGATCTTATATCTCTCTCCAGACATTGTGCAAGATTGTAAGATAAAGACAACGATATATTGGACAGAAATTCTCACAGATCCAGAGAAAGGAAACACAGCTTCAGCATTTTGGCAAAACTACAAATTATGGGCCAAATCATTATATCCACTCAGAGAGCATCTTGACCCTCTACATGTAACTCTCCGATACATCACACTGGAAGACGACACTTATGACGAACTCTGGCAACAGGTGAATGGCCAAACATTCCAGGTGAAATACTCCTGTATATATCTTGGCCCTCAAGGAATGGCTATTGCAGCAATTCTACCAGAAGAACTACGACCTTACTATATGGATGATGGAGAGAGTTCACCTCATGTAACACTGGCCATATCAAAGCACCACACGCAGAAGCAACTTGGCCCAATGATAAGATTTGCCTCTATTCTGCAATATGAACGCACTGAAAGAGATGGAGTTTTCTATAACTCACAAAATCAAATGTTCAAGATAATTCTACCCCAAGGCTCTGAAGACACAACAAGAACTTCAAAGCAGTCCAAACATCGAGTCTTTGATGATCATCCAGACACAGACAGACATCTGTCTCAAGTACCAAAAAACATATGGATGACTCACCCCAATGACGTGGGCCAGACAAAGCACACTATAAAGGTACAGCTCACTACAGCAAGACCTGTTTTTCGTTCACAATACCCACTCACAGAAGACCAAGACACTGGTATCCAAGAAACAATTCATGGATTGCTGGAATCAGGAGTGATTTATGAAACAATCTCAGACTACAACACGCCATTGTTCCCTGTGAAGAAGTCGGATCTACAGAACTGGAGAATGGTCCAAGACTTTCGACCTATCAATGACATCACAGCTGGTGAGTCATTCCCAGTCCCAGATCCATATATTGCCTTGAACAACTTGTCACCAAACTACAACTTCTATACAGTGATAGACTTGGCAAATGCTTTTTTCACAATAAACATTGAACCCAACTCTCAACAGTATTTTGCCTTCACTCACAACAACAAGCAATATACATATTCCAGAATGCCCCAGGGATGGAAGCACTCGCCCGGCTACTTCAACCATTTTCTGAGACAAGACCTGGCCAATCTACAACTTCCTGAATCCTGCATTCTGATTCAGTATGTGGATGACTGCATGATAGCAGGGGCTACATCTAAAGATGTCTTGGAAGCAACGGTAATACTTCTCACACGTCTGTCCAGCAAAGGCTACAAGGTAAAGAGACAAAAGATACAAGTAGCCAGAAGATCTGTCTACTTCCTTGGGCGAGAAGTATCGAATGGAGCACAAGGAGTAACGGACAACAACAAAGATGCTATTTTGCAGACTCCAAAACCAATAACAGTACGTCAAATGCTCAGCTTTCTAGGACTCTGCAACTATTCTCGAGAATATGTTCCAGGATACACCGAGCTCACAACTCCACTGAGGGAACTCATCAAGCCACATGGGATGCACAATCCAACAGCCGAACTACTTTGGACCTCAAGTGCTGAAGAAGCATTCATCAGGCAATATGTGTTGCATGCTCATTATGTGCCCCTGAATACAGCATCCCTTTTCATCTGGATGTGACAGAAAAACAGTCCTTTGTTCAAGCTGTTCTTTATCAGAAACATCAAGGGACCAGAAGAGTGTTGAAACATTACTCCTGCAAACTAGATCCTCATGATCAGGCACAACCTGGATGTGCACGCTATCTTGCAGCTTTGACAAAGACAATTGAGAAAACTGCTCATATTGTACAGAACCATCCTCTGGTGGTACACACTCATCATGGAATACTGGCTTATCTTAACTCTCGTCTGTTCATTACCACAGCCCAAAGATCCAACAACATCTCGAAAACTCTGAGACAAGAACATATTACATATGAAGGAGGTACCATCAACATGGCATCCAACATGGAGACTGAAGGAACTCCACATATGTGTGAGGAGAAAGTCAAGACTGAAATATATGTGAGAGCAGATCTACAAACGACGCCACTGGATAATCCAGATATGACTCTATTTTGTGATGGCTGTTCTTACAGAGCAAAAGATGGACATGTCATATCATCGTACGCTGTGGTTCAACAGCTGTCTAACGGACAACATCAAGTACTGGAAGCTCAACAATTGACATATGGATCAGCCCAGGTTGCTGAATTGACAGCTATGCTAAAGGCTTTGCAGCTTTCTGAAGGCCGTGCAGTCAACATCTACACTGATTCAGTCTATGCTTACAAAACGGTGACACTGTCCATTGCAGGTTGGATAAGAAATGGTTTCAAACTCATGGCTGGATCTCCAATCAAACATGAGTCATTGATCAAACAACTTATCAACGCTGTCCAGCTGCCATTACAACTAGCCATCATGAAGTGCAAAGCCCACACCAAAGGTGAAGACTCTGTGTCCCTAGGAAACCACGCAGCAGACCTGGCTGCTAAAGAAGCTGCCAATTACAACGAAAGGAACATGCTCATTCAAGCCAAAGAAACACCGGACAACTCATCTGACTCCAATGTTATCGATACTACCTATGTTAGAGAAATCCAAGAAGCTGCTGGAGCATATGAACATAGCGCATGGACAAGACGAGGTGCTGTTAAAGATGCTGAAGGAATCTGGAGGAACCATGAAGGAAAAATTTTGGCTCCTGTTCCGCTGCTTCAAATGCTCTTTGATGAATATCACACTCCAACACATCGCAGTTACAATGCGCTTCTGAAGCACATCGACTTGTGGTGGCATCCACATATGAAACCCATTCTACAATACTGGATTGATGAGTGTCATGTCTGCCAGACTATGAATCCAAAGAAGACATGTAAACCACCTCCAGGTACCTACACACTTCCAAATAAACCCTTTGAAAGAATTGTCATTGACTTTACAGACATGGGTCCTGATATGCGTGTCCGCGGCTATCGCTACCTACTGGTCTTAGTCTGTGAGTATACCAAATGGGTTGAAGCTTTTCCCTGTAAAACAGAGTCAGCCAAGGAAGTGATTCAACATCTCACTAACAACGTTTTTAGCCGTTTCGGAATTCCGTCTGTGATAAGAAGTGATAACGGAACTCACTTTAACAGCCAAAGTGGTACGTGATGTGTTAAAAGCCCTTAATATTTCACAGCGCTTTGGAACCATTTATCATCCAGCCAGCCAAGGAGTCTGTGAACGGATGAATGCAACAGTCAAAAGGAAACTGGCTAAAATCTGGCATACCACCAAACTTGACTGGGTCACTGCTCTTCCTTTTGCTTTGATGGACATTAGAAACAGCATTAACCAAACCACATCATACTCTCCTCATCTTTTACTCACTGGTAGAGAGATGCACAAACCAGTAGGTCCATTCAATGAAGAAACACCATTTATTGACTGGGACAAACAGCACCATTCTTATG